TACTGCTCAAAAGCTATATAATCACAGGCAGAAGAGAAGCAATTCACCCACTCAATCCCGCACCGACGAAGTCACCTAGATTGGTTAAGAAACGTTTGCAATCCAACTGCCAAGCTTGGCGAACAGACCAATAACCAAACAGCCCACCCAAGCTTCCTGCATTCCACAACACTGTCAACATGAATTAACACAGAATGCGGTTGTATCATTCCTGATTGCTTCTAATCATCACCTTCGGCACGCACGAGACTCACTGTCAGTTATCTCATAATAAGGGGCTTATTTAGTGGATTCTTAGCGGTGTGAACTGCAAAAATGATGTTAAAATAACGTTGGCTTTGTATTACGCGTGTGAATGCCCGTCATTCCGCCTACCATAATGAAACGCCTTTCATATTAAATATTCAAAGTCTAACTTAACATATAAATCTTAGTCATTTAGACGCATCGCTTAACTGTTAACGTTGTGACAAATAGGTTCAAACCGGTTGCATTTGGATATTCAAGCATACTACTGAATTCAAACACCCCACCCCCGCACTGATATAAGTAGAATAACCAGCCTTTTTGGCATTGAATTTTCTCCTAGGCATTAAAAGGTTTATTTGCGTATATGAAACATCAAATGGTTGGGCCGACACTGTCGGACGTAAGGCCGAGAGTCGAAAGACTGACAGTTGGTTTTGCCGACTGTCGGTTCTCTCGATTGCTCTGAAATGTATTTTAATAACTCACCTTATCAGGAAGCTCCATCGTCCTTGATTATGTAAGCAAATTCACCGTATCAATCAAATTTCCGCTACACAGTGAAAATGACTGGGGAATCTTGGTGGAATTCTGAGTTCATCGAAGTGTCATCCAAATGGCCATGTACAAACGTGAGGGTGATTGTTTATTGATTTGTTTCAACTAACGCAACTACCGAAATACAAAACCAATTCATGACGAAATACAGCATTCATACAGAACTGCAAGCTTCGCCACGTAGAATCCAAATTACGAGGTTGGTGGATTTTGTAGTGAAATGTGACTCGTACAGGCACTAGTATTCACGAGGCCTGCTAGTCAGGTGATGAGATCACGGGCATGTTCCGCCATGTTTTAGTTTTAACCAGCCACGAGTTCACGATTGATCAATAAAGCTTATTCTGACTGAGGTTGTATCATGCTATGTATACATGTCAGAATGTGACTAAATAATATTGGAATGCTGAGCTGTATTGTCTTAAATTATACTCTTGGAATATTTCAAACATGTAAAGTCGCTGTTTCGGATCGCAACAATGCAGATCAATTGATTGCAGTTGAGGTCACCATCACCTATAGATCTTGGTTGATAAAACACCGCAGGCTGACGTATCATCTGCTGAGCGGCTGTTTGACTTTTTCCTCATGGTTAATTAAGAAATCAGATGTTACACAATCCCTCTTAGCAATGTTGTGGAATGTAGGTAGCTCGGGTGCGCAATCTAACTGCTAAGCTCGGCGAACAGACCAACAACCAAACACGACCCCTCTTCTAGGTCTATTCACATGGTATCATACTTCGGTTGCCCGGCAGGCCAGAGTTCTATGATTAGCAAACACCACAAAACGTTGTGCGCGAAACTCCGAAATACCGGAGTCATTAGTTAGTTCACATCTCGCCCGAAGACAGTACAAAATTAAGCATATTTCACATAGTCCACTAGGTTCTATTAGCATTTAATGTGGATGAACAAATGACAATGAGATTGAAGTTCTGAGTGCTACTGCCGCTGTTTATCACCAGAAATAGGGTATAGCTGCGTTTTTACTATTCACAAATCACTTTAAAATGTTTCATATCCTTGATGTTTGATTACTATCCTTGTCTCGGTTTCAAAACCAGACGGTCAATCCACTTGGAGATGGAGCGGCTGATTTCGCGCGGTGCAAAGGTTTGAAAATGTTGTGGAAAAACATAAAATTTTCACCATACTTCGTCGTAAACGACATCTACTCAAATCTAAGTCGTTGACGGTTCGAAAGACAGAGCTTTCGGTGTTTTGTAGTTCCCCCTTCCAGACAGTAGGCGACAGCTGGCAAAATAACAAGTCTTGTAATCGAAAAGGCGCACGGCAGTTGTGAGAGTGTGTTTCCTTTTTTGATTTTCCACAGGGCAACTTCCACAGAATTCCGGTTATATACCCCATCTTGCGGATGAACTGAAATGTAACCTTAATGATTTCAGCCCGACGGATTGCCATTTAGCCTGTTAACTACTTACAAAGATACATGGCATCCGGGTAGTAATGTCTAATTAATGAGGTGAAACCATTTTCAGGCTGTAAAGAAAGGTTTTCAACCCAAAGAGGAGTCCCAAGAAGTTTTATAGATGAACTTTTAACAACGCAGAAGCCACCCGCTAAGAAAAACACGCTTTGTATTATTCAGAAAGGGTAATAAAAAGTTTATCAATCAATAAAATTATCCCGGACTTGAAAGTTTGGCCGATATCTGTACGATGTCGTTTATTGGATCGTTTATTGGATCATTTTAGTGGAAGTTTTGTTACTTACAGTTTTGAGTCGAACAAGGGCATCACAGTCGTCCAGTTTTGGATGATGAACCTCAGTAGTAAAAGACGCTTCCACTTAAATGTCATTTCTCATACAATAGGAAGCGAGCCAATGACCACATTCCGCAGTTTCCTGTACGGAATCACATGACCGCGAAAGAAAAATCTCAGTTAAGGGGCGTAAAGAAGACGGCGAAGGTCTGTCACGAACACACCCAGTATCTTGCCTAAAAGAGCAGCATTTGATAACCCCGTTTTTTTATCTCTGTACCTCATAAGTGAGAATAAACATTTATTTTTGCTGGCAAACGTTTCAAAAATTGGAATCGGTCTACACGGGAAGAGCATCGCCCACATTGTCCAAAATCATTTTAACTCTTTTTTAATAACTGATCCAGCTGGTGAATTACCTACTTATTATTTACTGTACTCCTGCGACCAAACTCCAAGTAATGAACTGTGATTTGCTGCGTTTCATTAGGCATAGTTGGATTAGTGACCTGCATTCATTTGCAAACAAATTTGGTTTTTTCGAATCCAGCTGAATCTCTCATTTATGGTGTTTTCAGGCAACTGAATGTGCTGCACTAGGCCGCCCCATGTTTCAGCTGCTATGCTATTCGAGATATCGCGATACATGTATATCTTTGTAATGCATAAATGAGCGATTCAGCTAGGTTCCAGGTGAGTCTCTCGCAAAACCAAATTAATTTGCAAATGAGTGTATATTCGCTAATTTCGTGCAATTTGGTTTCAAGTAGAACATAACGCTGACGGAAACCCGGGGACTACGCCTACCTGATGAGCCCCAAGAAGGGCGAAACCGGTCGTGGGCCGTCGACGGATTTTCAGCAACCTTATGAGTTCCTGGGTTCCGGGTGAGTCTCTCGCATAACCAAATTAATTTGCAAATGAGTGTATATTCGCTAATTTCGTGCAATTTGGTTTCAAGTAGAACATAACGCTGACGGAAACCCGGGGACTACGCCTACCTGATGAGCCCCAAGAAGGGCGAAACCGGTCGTGGGTTGTCGATGGATTGTCATTGGATTCTTTAAATTACACCAAGAACAAGCTTGTTGGCCTTCGTTTCGAGACAAACCAGACCTGCAAAACGTTGTGCGGAAGTGACTCGCAGACATCCAGAGGTACCTACTGCTTTAGACGCTGAGTCAGATATCATGGAGAGAAACTAACAGTACTCTACTATCACTGGCTACGCGCTTTTCCTTGCAGTGTCTGAAGCCAAGCGCAGGGAGGGTTGCACCACTCTGCCAAGTTTCACCTTATCCACCTTAGAGTATGCGCCATTCCGGGGGCACTGAGGACAACATTCATCTTCGAATCCTCCAGAGGTACTACTGCTTTAGACGCTGAGTCAGATATCATGGACAGAAACTAACAGTACTCTACTATCACTGGCTACGCGCTTTTCCTTGCAGTGTCTGAAGCCAAGCGCAGGGAGGGTTGCACCACTCTGCCAAGTTTCACCTTATCCACCTTAGAGTATGCGCCATTCCGGGGGCACTGAGGACAACATTCATCTTCGAATCCTGTGAATAAACATGTGCAGCCACCGGCATCGATGGTTCTGGAGTTTTCCCACGACTGACGCATTTCAGACACCTGTCGAGTCAGTCCGATGCAAGCATTCAGTCCTAGATATCGGTAATCAAAAACCTGAAGACAAACCAGAGATCTAGGGGGGCACATCATGCAACCAAATATCAAGACAGCCGGGTACCGTAGCCTGAAGCGCACGACTATTGGGATCCAGTAAGATGTCTTAGAACGACATCCTCTTATACGCTAGATTGGCAGAGTTCTCACCTGCAGTGTTCGGGATTTTGAAGACCTCTCAGCGTTTGGCTAATTGTTTCATCAATGGCAAGTTGAGCAAGAATGGAGAAGGTAAACAGTCTCGCCAGATACTACTTCTTTTCGGGCTTTTATGCCTTTAGGCTTTCAATTACCGATGTCTCTTTGCCAGCGCCTGCGTGTCTTCCTGGCCATCTAAACAACAGGAGAATGGTTCACCTGGGCTTCCAAACTCACGAACGACCTTCGTCTATCGACAGAATCAGAAGGTGTGTGCACATGTCTCTACACATGTTAACGTGCGAAACGGCACGTATTCTAACCACGTACTCATTGTCTCAGGCATCCAAGACATACGGGTGTAACGGTGATACTACTGATGGGGAGGCACGCGAGTAGTATGTGTTGTTCGTAGAATTTCGTTTTGCATCCCTTGAAAAGGGGAGATCTGTTGCGGAATTCGTTGAGTCACCCTGCAACATTTGCTTGGATTTGAACAATGAATGATTGAAGCCAATGAATATCCAGGAAAGTTCAAGAAGACGCCTTCAGGAGAAGATGGATGTCCAGTTTTTGTAAATAAGATGCAAATTAGAGTTTTGCTTCCCTGTCCAATGGTCTGTAACCGGTCAGTTAGCATTTCCTAATAAATAACTCCGCAACGAAGGCCTTCTTCCTTTCGCCGGTAGTTCTGCATTTGACAAAGCAGAGTTTGCGGCGGTGCCACATTTGACAAAGCAGAGTTTGCGGCGGTGGTAGACGTCAATTGACCATGTTCCATCGTGTGGCTGCGGTCAACTGACTTGGCATCATCGCTGTTACCATTTTCCACACGGACATGGTACTGAAAGGTACTCTGCGAACATGGGTTTCCGGCAGGCATTTCGCTATCTAAATTCCGTGCTTGTTTCGGACTATGTCTCAGATTTTTCTCCGAAGGCGCACCCAAATTTTGTGCAAACTGATGGCCTTGGTTTACATTCTGGTCAATCGATTCATTGACAGGTGGAAAACATTTACGTTCCACTTGTTCCATACTCATTTCCCGCGTGTATTATGTTACTGAATGCTTTGAGAGTTCCTTGTATCGTCTATGGTAACAGTGCCATGGGAACAGGCTGTGGGGTTTACACGAAATGGCGCAAATCCAAGTTTTGTTAAAGGAATTCTTTGACGCCGACTATCCTAAACTTCATATTGGACGAGCAGTGTGGTTGGACGGTCAAGAACAATGTCATAGTTATCACCTCGACTTCCGTGCATTCCAGCCAGCCGAGGACACCGGGGCACTTATAGCAACCCATCGCAGCTCAGTCTAGAAGAATAACACTTAAAGAACTTGGGTCCATTCTAAGAAGCCGCCCTTGAGAATCTTCCAGATTTTTCTAGTAACATTCAATTTGCACGTCATGTTGTTTTAGAGATGCCAAAAATCCCGGCCAAATTTGAGATATGGCATGAAAAGTGATTAAAAGTCAGCTCAAGGGTTATCTTTTAGGTTTATGGGGAAATTGACTTCCTGGTGCGTTCAAAAAACCTTTAGTTACCAGCATCTTTTCATCTTGACAGGAGTGGTGCTTTTTTTCTTTCTTGGTTTGACAGCGGCTCAAGCGTTTGTCCTAAATTCAGGACATGCTGTGAATTTCAGAACCTCATAGATGGGAGAACGCCGGCCGATAATCACGAAACATCTTGGACAAAATGCAGTTGTGTGTTTTAGACATCTTGTTCCGTTTCACTGGTGCACCAGAATGTTTGGAGACTGGAAATGCAACTATACACTTGGCACCCAGAATTCCGGGCTCGGTAAAATTTTGAAAAAAAAGTGCCCGCCAAACGCGGATGTTTGGGGTGTCTCACAGTTTAGGTACTTCTGAATCTTCAGTGTTGGAATGTGTAGAATGCGGATCATGCGTTGGACACGCTTGGTATTACAACAAATCCCATATCTGAAAAGTTGAGAGAAGCGCTGAAAAGTCATGTCAAGCCAACTGACTGTAGTCACGCCATGAAATCTGGTTAGTTGGTGCCCCCCCGCCCCCCCCACCCTGGAGTGTGCTTTGTCAAATACAATACGTGCGAAAAGATGAGTACGTGGTTAAAATTCACGTGCTGTTCCGCATACTGACATGTGTGTAAACAGGTGCATACAACTTTTGATTCTGCACGTCGACGGCCGCCATTCGTCAGGTCGAAACATCTGCGTAACGGTAACTGATCCCTATGTTGTCCGTTTGGAGGTGTTTCATGGGTGAACACCACAAAATCACGTATTTCCAAGCGTTTCAGGCTGTCAACTGCTGTCATCCCCAGTGCTCATTCTCCGTCGCTCATAGACCACGTGTTGTATTTGAGACAAACACCTTCTTGGGTCCCCACAAAGCCGATTCTACTCATCTCCGTGTTCATGGTACTAACGGCCACACTGATGTCTGGGATTCGAGCATGTTGTAAAAGAACCTCTACGACATCAAGCAAACTGTCTTTCTTTTATTCAGAACTACAGTAAACACAAAAGATGATAGATGACCAACGTCTGCCTCCCAAGATTCTTGTAGAAACATTTTCAGTTAAACCATGCAGAGATGAGCACCCACGGGCATCCAGTCAAATGAAGGCGCTTTACCTGATGTTTAAAGCCTCGCTCACGCAGCGTTTGTAGGTGCAACGGCTTCTGAATCACCGGACTTGCACAGCCGAAAGGGGAGGCGGGGGACGGTGAACCAGTTCAGTTTCAGGCCATTCAGGCTTTTGTTTCTGACAGACAGCAATCACCGATGCGGACAAAAGAATAACAATGAATACAGTTGAACAGACGAGCCCTTTCGGTTTGAAAATTCATTTTGAGGTGTTTGGAGCTGTTACTAGAAAGGATCGGCGGATGTCTCATCTAAGCATTGTGCGAACCCGTGGACATATCGCACAAAGTCCGATGTGGCACCAGTGCCTTTTTGGTGAGGGAGCGAGTTGGAATTCACTCTGATTGGAATATTTTTAGGGCGCTTGCACCTAGAGATAAGGGGCAATCACAGAAAACAACCCAAGCTTTTGAACGAATTCGTTCTGTAGCTCAGGTACCCTTTGCCTTCGGAAGGCAAAGTCTAAATTGTCTGGTCCCTACTTTATCATGCAATTACGAGACCATCGGTGATAAGTACATATGAACTAGTCAGTTTCCCAGAGGTGTTATTTGTACTCGATTACACTGGTTGATGTTGTTTCTTCCACTTCAAAGCTTACTAAAAATTTACCCATTGAAGTAACAACAAAATACTATACAAAAGCGAAACTCATTGAACAAACTCAAAATTTATCCATCACGCATGGTTAAATCCAGGCTATTCGCATGAAACCACGAGGGAGAGTGGCACTTGAGCAATCATGTAACAAAATAGCGCCAGGTAAATGCATGAATAGTTATTCATCGACGTTCAGAGGCCCACCAAGTCATAAAATCCACACGAAAAAAAACACGATTTTATTGTAACGGACCAATACTCCAAATGGTTAAATTCTTTTAGTTGTGGATGTTTGTGCGATCTTTAGAACACACGCCAACATTACTCTCTTTCGAACAGTCGTACTTCTTTCCCGGTCCAGTCATTTTCATCAGTTCATGCAGGGGTCGTCTAAAGTCGATTTATTAGAATGGAAGGTGATTTTGCAACTTTGAGCACATAGTTCACACGGAAGGTTTCAGGCGCTGTACACAAGGTACAAGATCCCTTACAGTAATCTCAGGTAGTCAGTAGTGTCAGAAGAAAACTCTGAACGCTTGATTTGGGATAATAATGTATTTCTTTCGGCCAAGCCGTCTGTCGCAGACATGTTAGCTGTGTTTATGTCCACAGCATAATCAGACACAACCATCTTTCGCTCCGTGCTTATTGTCTGAAATCAAAATTCTCGTGCCATGAGAATGAGGGCATATGTCTGTCAAAAATATGTACTTTACAGACAACGTATGGAATTATCACCTGCATCATGTGACCAAAATCCTCAGCCCAGTCTTTTATTTTTTATCTGGAAAAATCTACACGTCAGATTCGTTAAAACTAATTCACAACTGCGATTCGATGAACAAAGCTGTTTGATCCACACCCCTGATGTACTGTGGTTACCTGAAAATATGAAAAAATGGCCGCCCTGTGAACATCATTTCTTACTCTCCCTAGATTTCCCAATAACTTGTGCAGAGTACAATATGCTGCAAACCGCTGCCCTTGGTCAATCACGTGAAAAATTCCTGGAACCGATTGGGTAGTCATCGTTTACGAAAACGTTTGGTGACAATTGGTGAATTTATTGCTGGGCAACGCTTCGCTTTTGACACAAAAGCTTCGTCAGGCCAATTGATTAGGTTCCGAGTTTGGTCGAGATTTAAGGTGGAAGGAGAACCAATCAGCTAAGTCAAGCTAAATCCCTATTGGGTGTCGGCCGAGGGATTTTAGTGTATTAAACCGGCTGAACAAGTGTTGGGTCGGTGAGGAAACCTAGATTTGTTTGGGTCCAGCCTAGGGTCTAGTTCTTCTGGTTCGGTTCATTTGAATTTCGTTTGAACCTTCTGCCAAGCACTAAGTCTACCGATTGTTCACCAAACATTCTGAAAAGTTGTCCTTGGTCTTCAGTCTGCTGTGCAATCTACAGACTGCCCATATATGGATAAAAACGCTAAGATCATCAATCGCGCAAGACACGATAATTCCCCATTCCCCACACTCCGTAAACCGATTGATTAACGGAGAAAATCGAATGATGGCAGGATAATTTTTACAGACACAAAAGACGTTCCATTTCAGTGCGTCGCCAAAGTATGAACAGAATCACATGGCTGTTCCAATATCAAACAGACGGGTAATTTCGTGATATTCTTCCACCCCCATACTATTTGACTTTTGCGTCACTTCTCGGGCTTTATGAAAAGGCGAAAGAAGCCGATTTCGATACATTGCAAGTGAACCCAAAAACACTGTGATACAAACAATCCTTTCGAACTGTTTTCCAATGTGTTTGCCATCGACCCCTTGCTCGCCAAATAGATTAGGTCAAGTAATCACCTGCCATGATGGCTAACACTGTCATATATTTGATTTAGTGAAAGTCATTTCGACGGAGAACATCCTGCTGACTGGGCGATTGATGGCCAGTTATTGGGGAATTCCACAGTCTCATTGTTGAGGTTCCCGATGCGGAACTTTGAGTGACGCTTAAGTTCGACAATCCCGAATATCCAAAGGAAGAAATGGGTTCGTAATCCTATGGTACTGTTTGCACATGGGTAAGCAAATGTGTACAACAAACCTCAATTGTTCACGTTCGTAGCGTCAACAAGTTCACAGGTATGTCACTGATCGGCACAGTGCAGTGTGAACGTCCGCACACCAAACAACGGCGAGCGGAATGATGGCTCAGTGGCGTGGGTTCCGAGGACGGTCTCGTGATTCTCACTGGATGTGCGGTAACACGGAACTCATGAGCAAACAAGTCAAGGCAGGCTCAGCAAACGGGATATGAACGCGCACATTCACACACAGACAGTCAATAAACAAGTGTCGGAAGGGTCTGTCTCTGTGGCCTCGAATGCGAATGAGCAAAACAACTGGAGATCAAAGGTGCGTAGACGGAGTGAGCAAATGAATGGGGGAATTATCATAAGGTCAAGTAAGATTCAGCATCCATCGACTTTTGCATACCCTACATATGTCAGTAGGCTATCTATCGGTGAACTGTTCGGCGTGAAAGAAAACACGGAGAAGTTGGCCACGTGTTGCAGTTTATCATAGTTAAATTAATAATGTCATGGTGAAATGAAGGCCTTCGCTGCGGAGTTACTTATTGGAAATTCCAACTGACCGGTTACAGACCATTGGACAGGGAAGCAAAACTCTCATTTGCATCTTATTTACAAAAACTGGACATCCAGCTTCTCCTGAACGCGTCTTCTTGAAATGTCCTGGAGATTCATTGACTTCAATCATTCCTCGCTCAAATCCAGGCAAATGTTACAAAGTGACTCCACGAATTCCGCAACAGATCTCCCAC